ATCCCAAAATCACCAATTCCACCTTTTCTATCCCAAAATCACCGATCCCACCTTTCCCGTCCCCCAAACTCGGATTTTCACAGAGCCCCACCAGCTCCAGCTCGGGGCCGACAAAACCCGGGAGATTCCCGATTTTTGGGGTGATTTATGGGAATTTATGGGAATCTTGGTGATCTTTGGGATGAGCTCCGGCAGCTCTGGAGCTCGTGGGTCTCCTGATCCCGGTGGGATTCCCTGGTGGGATTCCCTGGTGGGTGTCCCCAATCCCAGTGGGTGTCCCCGTTCCCGGTGGGTGTCCCCAATCCCGGTGGGTCTCCCCAATCCCGGTGGGTTTTTCCCGGTGGGTGTCCCCGTTCCCGGTGGGTGTCCCCGTTCCCGGTGGGTGTCCCCAATCCTGGTGGGTTTTTCCCGGTGGGTGTCCCCAATCCCGGTGGGTCTCCCCGTTCCCAGTGGGTCTCCCCAATCCCGGTGGGTGTCCCCAATCCCGGTGGGTTTTTCCTGGTGGGTCTCCCCAATCCCGGTGGGTGTCCCCAATCCCGGTGGGTTTTTCCTGGTGGGTCTCCCCAATCCCGGTGGGTGTCCCCGTTCCCAGTGGGTCTCCCCAATCCCGGTGGGTGTCCCCAATCCCGGTGGGTTTTTCCCGGTGGGTGTCCCCAATCCCGGTGGGTGTCCCCAATCCCGGTGGGTCTCCCCAATCCCGGTGGGTGCCCGGCGCAGCGCTTCTCCCCGAGGATTTCCTTTCCTTGGCCGAGGTTTTCCACTGCTGGGACATCCCCGGATGGAGCCCCTCGCCCACACAGCCCCTCCTGCCTGGAACAGCTCCAGCAGCCCAAGAGCCTCATCCCAAACCCGGAGCTTCCCGTGGGAATTGTCCCCCCCGGCTCTGGGATGTCCCCTGACCCCACACCCACCTCCTCGTCGCTGCTGCTGTCGCCCTTGTTGGCTTTTTTCTTCTTCTTCTTGTCGTCCTCCTTCTTCTTCTCCTTCTCGGGGATGATGTTGTCGATCCAGGCCAGGTCGTGCTGGGAGAAGACGAAGTCCAGGAGCCGCCGGACCAGGATCAGGGCCAAGATCTGATGGGGAGAGGTCCAAGGGCGGCTCAACCCAAGATCTGGTGGTGACCACCAAGCCAAAAATCCCTTAAATCCCAAAAAACCCTCTGGAGCGAGGATGGCATTGCCCATGATGGAGAAGATGATGGTGGCCATGGGGGAACCACGCCAAAAATTCCATTAAATCCCAAAAACCCCTTTGGATCATGATGGGGTTACCATGACGGGGAAGATGATGGTGGCCATGGTGGAACCACGCCAAAAATTTCATGAAATCCCAAAAAACACATTTGGATCAAAGATAGGATTACCATGATGGGGAAGATGATGGCAGCCATGGTAGGACAATGCCAAAATCTCCTTAAATCCCAAAAAAAAAACTCCTTTTGGGTAAGGCTGTAATTTCCATGACAGGGAAGATGATGGTGGCTATGGTGGGACCACACCAAAAAGCCCAAAAAACCCTTCCAAGGAAGGATGGGATCACCATGGGAAGATGATGGTGGGACCATGCCAAAAATCCCAAAAACCCCTTTGGATCACGATGGGGTTACCATGACNTGACCCCTCAGCCAAAATCACCAATTCCACATTTTCCATCCCAAAATCACCGATTCCACCTTTTCCATCCCAAAATCACCGATTCCACCTTTTCCATCCCAAAATCACCATTTCCACCTTTTCCATCCCAAAATCACCGATTCCACCTTTTCCATCCCAAAATCACCGATTCCACCTTTTCTATCCCAAAATCACCGATCCCACCTTTCCTACCCCAAAATCACCGATCCCACCTTTCCTATCCCAAAATCACCGATTCCACCTTTTCTATCCCAAAATCACCATTTCCACCTTTCCTATCCCAAAATCACCATTTCCACCTTTTTTATCCCAAAATCACCATTCCACATTTTCCATCCCAAAATCACCGATTCCACCTTTTCTATCCCAAAATCACCAATTCCACCTTTTCTATCCCAAAATCACCAATTCCACCTTTTCCATCCCAAAATCACCATTTCCACCTTTTCCATCCCAAAATCACCATTCCCACCTTTCCCGTCCCCCAAACTCGGATTTTCACAGAGCCCCACCAGCTCCAGCTCGGGGCCGACAAAACCCGGGAGATTCCCAGATTTTTGGGGTGATTTATGGGAATTTATGGGAATCTTGGTGATCTTTGGGATGAGCTCCGGCAGCTCTGGAGCTCGTGGGTCTCCTGATCCCGGTGGGATTCCCTGGTGGGATTCCCTGATCCCGGTGGGTCTCCCCAATCCCGGTGGGTGTCCCCGTTCCCGGTGGGTCTCCCCAATCCCGGTGGGTTTTTCCCGGTGGGTGTCCCCGTTCCCGGTGGGTTTTTCCCAGTGGGTGTCCCCGTTCCCGGTGGGTGTCCCCGTTCCCGGTGGGTGTCCCCAATCCCGGTGGGTTTTTTCCGGTGGGTGTCCCCAATCCCGGTGGGTTGTCTCCCCAGTCCCGGTGGGTGTCCCCAATCCCGGTGGGTTTTTCCCGGTGGGTCTCCCCAATCCCGGTGGGTTTTTTCCGGTGGGTGTCCCCAGTCCCGGTGGGTCTCCCCAGTCCCGGTGGGTCTCCCCAATCCCGGTGGGTGTCCCCAATCCCAGTGGGTGTCCCCAATCCCGGTGGGTGTCCCCAATCCCGGTGGGTTTTCCCGGTGGGTGTCCCCAATCCCGGTGGGTGTCCCCAATCCCGGTGGGTCTCCCCAGTCCCGGTGGGTGTCCCCAATCCCGGTGGGTTTTTCCCGGTGGGTGTCCCCAATCCCGGTGGGTGTCCCCAATCCCGGTGGGTTTTTCCCGGTGGGTGTCCCCAATCCCGGTGGGTGTCCCCAATCCCGGTGGGTGTCCCCAATCCCGGTGGGTCTCCCCAATCCCGGTGGGTGCCCGGCGCAGCGCTTCTCCCCGAGGATTTCCTTTCCTTGGCCGAGGTTTTCCACTGCTGGGACATCCCCGGATGGAGCCCCTCGCCCACACAGCCCCTCCTGCCTGGAACAGCTCCAGCAGCCCAAGAGCCTCATCCCAAACCCGGAGCTTCCCGTGGGAATTGTCCCCCCCGGCTCTGGGATGTCCCCTGACCCCACACCCACCTCCTCGTCGCTGCTGCTGTCGCCCTTGTTGGCTTTTTTCTTCTTCTTCTTGTCGTCCTCCTTCTTCTTCTCCTTCTCGGGGATGATGTTGTCGATCCAGGCCAGGTCGTGCTGGGAGAAGACGAAGTCCAGGAGCCGCCGGACCAGGATCAGGGCCAAGATCTGATGGGGAGAGGTCCAAGGGCGGCTCAACCCAAGATCTGGTGGTGACCACCAAGCCAAAAATCCCTTAAATCCCAAAAAACCCTCTGGAGCGAGGATGGCATTGCCCATGATGGAGAAGATGATGGTGGCCATGGTGGAACCACGCCAAAAATTTCATGAAATCCCAAAAAACACATTTGGATCAAAGATAGGATTACCATGATGGGGAAGATGATGGCAGCCATGGTAGGACAATGCCAAAATCTCCTTAAATCCCAAAAAAAAAACTCCTTTTGGGTAAGGCTGTAATTTCCATGACAGGGAAGATGATGGTGGCTATGGTGGGACCACACCAAAAAGCCCAAAAAACCCTTCCAAGGAAGGATGGGATCACCATGGGAAGATGATGGTGGGACCATGCCAAAAATCCCAAAAACCCCTTTGGATCACGATGGGGTTACCATGACGGGGAAGATGATGGTGGCCATGGTGGAACCAAGCCAAAAATTCCATTAAATCCCAAAAAACCCATTTGGATCACGATGGGGTTACCATGATGGGGAAGATGATGGTGGCCATGGTGGAACCAAGCCAAAAATTCCATTAAATCCCAAAAAACCCATTTGGATCAAGGATGGGGTTACCATGACAGAGAAGATGATGGCGGCCATGGTGGTACCACACTAAAAATTCCATTAAATCCCAAAAAACCCCTTTGGATCACGATGAGGTTACCATGACGGGGAAGATGATGGCGGCCACGGTGGATTTGAGGATCCAGAGCACGGCCAGGCAGACGATCTGCACCAGGGTGAAGAGGTGGATGCGGCGCAGCGGGACGTGCCGCAGGAACACGTAGTCGGGCTGGTGCTTGGCCGGCATCAGGAAGAGCTTGCAGCGATCCCAAAACTGCCCGGGGAGGAAGGTCCAAGTTAATCCTCNTTCCATTAAATCCCAAAAAACCCATTTGGATCACGATGGGGTTACCATGATGGGGAAGATGATGGTGGCCATGGTGGAACCAAGCCAAAAATTCCATTAAATCCCAAAAAACCCATTTGGATCAAGGATGGGGTTACCATGACAGAGAAGATGATGGCGGCCATGGTGGTACCACACTAAAAATTCCATTAAATCCCAAAAAACCCCTTTGGATCACGATGAGGTTACCATGACGGGGAAGATGATGGCGGCCACGGTGGATTTGAGGATCCAGAGCACGGCCAGGCAGACGATCTGCACCAGGGTGAAGAGGTGGATGCGGCGCAGCGGGACGTGCCGCAGGAACACGTAGTCGGGCTGGTGCTTGGCCGGCATCAGGAAGAGCTTGCAGCGATCCCAAAACTGCCCGGGGAGGAAGGTCCAAGTTAATCCTCAGCCCCACCCCACAGAAAAACCCTTTTATGGTCCCCAAAATGGAGGAAGAACTTCAGTGATCCCAAAATCTCCAAGGGAGGAAGGCCCAAGTTAATCCCCAGCCCCACCTCACAGAAAAAACCATTTTATGGTCCCCAAAATGGAGGAAGAACTTCAGTGATCCCAAAATCTCCAGGGGAGGAAGGTCCAAGTTAATCCCCAGCCCCACCCCACAGAAAAACCCTTTTATGGTCCCCAAAATGGAGGAAGAGCTTCAGTGATCCCAAAATCTCCAAGGGAGGAAGGCCTGGGGTTGATCCTCAGCCCCACCCCACAGAAAAACCATTTTATGGTCCCCAAAATGGAGGAAGAGCTTCAGTGATCCCAAAATCTCCAAGGGAGGAAGGTCCAAGTTGATCCTCAGCCCCACCCCCCAGGCTGCCCAGGAAAATTCTCTTTTATTCCCCCCAAAATGAATTTCCAGGATTTTGGTGTTTCTCGGAGGGTTTTGGGTCCCATCTGCTGTCCCACGTGTGGAAATTTTGGAGTAAAAATCCTCCTTTTGGAGCCAGTGTGGGACAGTCTGTGGCCAGTGAGGAGGAGGAGGAGGAGGAGGATGACAAGGATGAGGATGAGGAGGATGGAGGACAAGGGGGATGAGGAGGATGAGAAAGGGGGCGGTGAAGACAAAGAGGATGAGGAGGAGG